ATCTCAAAAACAGTCGCACGGACGACTCGTCGGTTGACGAATGAAATAAACGGCTGAATGATGGACAAACGGCTTGATTAAATGTATTTTACTTAAACGCTGTCAGCCTCAAAAACAGATCGGATTAATGGAGACAACCAACCTTTCAACATCAATGGTAGATATTTTTGATTTTCAGATTAGGATATCCTTCTAAATGGGTTCTACGCAGGAATTCTTAGGCAAACTTGTAACCAATACGAGCGCTTTCCTAGTCTTTATTAGCGAAAATTCCGGACAAAGATAAGTACGGACTGGTAACAAAAAGTTTAAGATAAGTAGTTGCTACGTCAGCAATCCAACTCCCGCAATCACTACATTATACATTTGTGAAAAGATGGGACCTGCGAATATCCTAGAGCTATGCATATTACTTGCATGGCAATTAGTCTCTCCTTTCTTAATGGAATATGGACACAAATTCTATTGACTCGTAGTGAGTGGAGCCAAAATGTTGTGATGTATACCTTATTATAAGGTATACATCACAACATTTTGGATCCACTCACTGCAGGCCTATCATGCAAAGCCTCGTTTTGAACGATTGGTCGTTTAATTTTAAAAGCACGTAGCTTAGCCCCTCAATCTCATGCCGTATTTACATCCTCTCGCACGAGGATGATCTAAAAGAAAAAAGGACGATAGCCGTTTTCATTTTTAGTCTTTTTTCTCCTAACACGATCACTTTCACCAAATTTTAGACGAACATCTTTGTGCTGTGAGAATTATTGTGGATCATCCTGGCTGCGTACATCTACCCTCTTAGAGTACAATGGTCAGTCAACTTGGACAGTCTTTACAGATATTTATATGCTACAGCCAAAAGCTGGCTACCTGTGCAAATATGTCACAACCCATTTTCAGAGCGCTTCAGTTTGAGGACAAGGACGGCAAGGCATCCATTTGAAGTATGAATCGGAAAACAACTGTTAAGTTTTTCGAAGCAAAACAAAGATATGCAAAGTCGAGTAGTTTGACATCCAGTAGAAAATTTTCATACCCTCCTGATTCTAGTTAGCTGCAAAGTAAAATCGTTTCACTTATTTCCCGCCCGATAGTCCGAAACCTGACAAGTGTTGTAGTTATAAGACTTAGCATCAAAGAGGCGATGAGTGCACAGTTGTAATTCTATAAGAATGTCAAGCCACATTTGAAAACAATAGCCATAAAATTTGCCAAAGACAATAAAATTTTTGTCGATTGTACATTTTGATAACAATGCTAAACATTACTTCTCTCGATTACGCTGTATATTGCACTTTCGGTTCGAGTTTCTGACTGTGTACGTTCATTATGATCGAACAAGTACAGTAGATTATGCCGTGCGTCCGGAATGCCAACTTCCTTAACATCCTCATTTTTATATTTCGTCTGTCACGCATTTCCTGTACGATGAATTTCGTCCGATTTACCCTCGTCACC